TTCATTTATTTCTGCTCTGATTTTTATTATTTCTCTCCTTCTGCTGGCTTTGGGCTTTGTTTGTTCTTCTTTTTCTAGTTCTGTTAGGTGTAATTTAAGGTTGCCTATTTGGGCTTTTTCTTGTTTGTTAAGGTGGGCTTGTATCGCTCATAATTTTTAATTTTTTCATATTATCTCATATTATTATATTATGTAGTTGTAACCAAAGTATTCTATATTCTTATGTAATTTTACATTTCCCCCTGTCTTAACAGTCTTAAAATTTGAATTGGTTAGCCAGTAGTCCACTATATTGATTTAATCTAATTTAATAAACCATTCCCCTAATGATAGACATTTAAGTTGTTTACACTTTTTTGTCATTATAAATAGTGCTTCAGTTAATACTTTTATGTGATACCTTCTTTTGATTTATTTCCTAGAGTAAATTTTTATAAGTGGAGTTATTGGGTCAAAGAGTATATAGTACCTTTATAATCCGTGCATCATAGTTTCAACTTTCTGGGTCATGTGGATAGCACAGGGTAGTGAGAAGAATACTATATTGGCAATCCTAAAGTCAGACCTAACTTTCATACTAACCAGCTGTGAGAGCTTGGGTGGGTCACTTCTCCTTTTTGAATTTCAGTTTTCTCTAGTATAAAATTAGTGTATTGTATTAGGTAATTATTCTGTCCCCTTTAACTCTAATATCCTACAATTCTATAGTAGAAAGTAGAAGCTGTTACCCATTCTTTATGGATGCAAACTGTATTATTTTGTTCCTTTCCTCCCTAAAAGACTTATCTGAGGAAAAGTTCTTATATCAACCTTAATTGTTCAGTGGAACCTCTGCTCTCTTGGAACTTGTTTTAGAGGGGAGGAGGTTACATAACCCCTTCATGAACAGGTGGATCTCCTACAGAGATAGGAGGACAAAGACCTTGTTCGAAAGATCTTGCTTAGGTAACGGAAATTGGAAGACATATAGGAACCACAACTGCCTGCCTCGTGCCAAGTATCCCAGACCTTCTTTCTACTCCTCCAGTGTCCATAGGAACTAAGGAAACTCCTAACACAACGTGAGGAGTGTCGTTGGTTTGCTTTCCTTTTTGTGTCATCCTCTCCCCCTATAAACTTCCTGTGAGTTCTTCCCCTTTGGTTGCCAGTACTGGAACTCAGCACATTCTATCTCTGGCCCATTTTAGGCAGCTGATACACAGGAGTTTGGGAACAAACTGCACAAATCATTTCGTGAGATTACCCAGCACCGATTTCTTCACCATTGCTCATGTGAGGTGAAGCAGGTAAGTGTAAAGTAATAATCAGTACTTTGGTGGAAATCTTCCATATTGGTATATGGGAATCTTGAATACAGGGTGGGTAGGTGCAGGTGCTTTAGATTGCACAATCTGAGGTTAGTCTTTCAGCAAAGAAGCCTGTGGTTCAGAAAAACTTTATAGAATGTAGTATTACATAGAAGTAAGAGCATGGTTAGGTGTCACTTGAATTCCATTTCTACCAGTAACTAGTTGTGTGGTATTATTGTGGAAGCTATTTAAGCTTTCTAAGCCTCAGTTTTTTTATCAGTAAAATAGGAATGATGCATACCTAAAATGATTGTTGTGAGGTTTGAATAAGATAATGTATGTAAAGTGCTAAGCACATACCTACTCATAATGGTGATGATATGATGGAATTCTTATGTTTAGTTTTGCCTAATCAAAAACATACTTTTATCTATTCACCTTCTTGGATGCTGGAGATATAGAGTTGCATTAGTTGGGGTCTCTACCCTCAAGGAGATCAAATAGCTTCCTCTGGTTTTGTGACAGGCTCCTCTAATGAGTGAAGAGAAATCATAGCTGGGAAATTCTACATATCTACAGATTCCAGGTGTAGCTTCTAGTAGTATTCCAATAAAGCCCACTTTTCTGGCTTTCTTGGCTCCAATCAGTAAAATTAATTTTTCTGCAACTAAAGTATAAGATGAGTAAATAGATTAAAGATGAAATTATCATACAGTAGCTTCTGGCCAAGGTGGAGTAACAGGGACCAGATTTACCCTCCTGCCTGTAATAACAAAAAATCTGGACACAACATATGAAACAATGGTTCTCAAGTCACTGGGCATCAGACAATTAATGGCATAGTCATTCCTGAGAGATGGAAAACAAATGAAGTGAGCCTTATGATTGCCCTAGCATACTGCCTAGAGAGAGTAAAGAGGCCATGGAGTAGGGAGAGGGAATCCAGGCAAAGCCTAGTGGTCTCCCTGAGTTGAATAGATAAAGCTGGGAATCCAAGGATGCCAAGGCAGCTAAAGTGTTCAGGGAAGAGTACCATAGAAGAGAAATCTGCATAGAGAGAGAATTCTGGAGATCTTCAGAGGTTCCCCCTCTGGTGTTCAGTTGAGTACTGATCAGCTCATTCATGTGAAGAAACATCTAGGTAAAGAACCACCCAGAAGGATTAGAGGGAACAATATGCAGAGCTTACACAGGGCTAGGAATAGTGCCTATTCCCCACCAGAGAGGAAAGCCTTCTAATTCACGGATCGTCAGGTAGAATACTACAAAGCATCTTGCTTCAGGAATGGAGTAAAATTAAACCTACAATAAACACTCCTTCAGTCCTGCCTAACAGAGCTTAAAAGCAGAAGCAAGACCTAAAAGGATCAAGTTGTTTCCAAGTAATTCAACGGCATCACAGAACAAAGTGCAAGAATATTTATAGGAATTCGAAAATATCCAGCACCCACGAAGTTAATATTGACAGTGCCTTGCATCCAATAAAAAATTAACAGGCATGCTAAGAAGCAGGAAAAATAACCCACAATGAAGATAAAACTCAATCAATTGATCAATCAATCATTCAATCAAAACTGATCCAGAACAGATACAGAAGATAGAATTAGTAGACAAAGACATTAAAACAGTTATTATTATAACTGTATTCCATATGTTCAGGAAGCTATAGGAAAGATGGGACACATTAAGTAGACATATGGAAGGTATAAAAAAGACCCAAAACAAACTTTAAAGATAAAAACTATGATGTCTCTGAGGTAAAAATTACACTGAATAGTATTAATGGCACATTAGACACAAGTAAAAACATATAGCAGGCCGGCCCCGTGGCTTAGCGGTTAAGTGCGTGCGCTCCGCTGCTGGCGGCCCGGGTTCGGATCCCAGGCGCGCACTGACACACCGCTTCTCTGGCCATGCTGAGGCCGCGTCCCACATACAGCAACTAGAAGGATGTGCAACTATGACATACAGCTATCTACTGGGGCTCTGGGGGAAAAAATTAATAAATAAATAAAATTTTAAAAAAATTCTTTATTAAAAAAAAAACATATAGCAATAGAAACTATCAGAAATGAAACACAGAGATTAAAACAAACAAAAAAATAATAGAGCATTGAGCACCTGTGAGTTATGGGACAACTTCAAGTAGCCTGATATATGTGTAATTGGAGAATCTGAAGAAGAAGCAGGTGCAGAAAATATACAGTATTTGAAGACATCATGGCTGAAAAATTTCCAGATTTGATGAAATCTATAAACCCCACAGATCTAAGAATCTTAACAAACCCCAAGCCCAAGAGACGTAAAGAAAACTACACCAAGGCACATCATAACTAAATTGGTTAAAACCAGTGGTAAAGAGAAAATCTTAAAAGCAAACAGAAGGGAAAAAAAAACTTATTATGTACCAGGAAACAAAGATAAGGATTATAGCAAATTTCTCATCAGAAAGAGTATAAACTAGAACAAAATGGAGCAACATCTTTATAGTACTGAAAAAAACCTGTCAACCTAGAATTCTTTACCCAACAAAAATATCTTTAAAAACAAGGATGAAATAAGGACTTTTTCTGGGGCCAGCCTGGTGGTGTAGTGGTTAAGTTCGTGTGCACCACTTCAGCAGCCCAGGGTTCGCAGGTTCGGATCCTGGGCACAGACCTATGCCTCGCTTATCAAGCCATGCTGTGGTGGCATCCCACATATAAAGTGGAGGAAGATGGGCACAGATGTTAGCCCAGAGCCAGTCTTCCTCAGCAAAAAGAGGAGGATTGGCAACAAAAGTTAGGTCAGGGCTAATCTTCCTCACCAAAAAAAAAAAATAAATAAGGACTCTTTCTGACATACAAGAGATGAAAGAATTCGTTATTAGCAGACAAGAAATGTAAAGAAGTCCTTCAAGCAGAGGAAAAATGATACCAGATGGAAACCTGAATCTACACAAAGGAATGAAGAGTATTGAAAATGGTAACTAGGGCCGGCCCCGTGGCTTGGTGGTTAAGTGAGCGCGCTCCACTGCTGGCGACCCGGGTTCGGATCCCGGGCTCGCACCGACGCGCTGCTTCTCCGGCCATGCTGAGGCCGCGTCCCACATACAGCAACTAGAAGGATGTGCAGCTATGACACACAACTATCTACTGGGGCTTTGGGGGGAAAAAATAAATAAAAATAAAAAAATCTTTAAAAAAAAAAAATGGTAACTACATGGTTAAATATAAAGACTTTTTCTTATTATTTAAATCTCTTTAAAACATAATTAACTTTTTAAAGCAAAAATAGTATTTTATAATCTGTATAGAAGTAAAGTGTATGACAACCATAGTACAAAGACCAGAAGGAGAGAAATGGAAATATACTATTGTAAGGACTTATACTATATGTGGAGTGGTATAATATTACTTGAAGGTAGACTGATAAGTTAAAGATGAAAGGAACCATCAAAATAACACAACAAGGAGTTATAGCTCATAAGCCAAAAAAGGAGATAAAATGGAATTATAAAAAATATTCAACCCTTAAACGAATGAGAAGACAAGCTACATACTGGGAGAAAATATTTACAAGAGATACATCTGATTAAAGGACTGTTACCCAAAATATACAAAGAAGTCTTAAAACTTAACAGTAAAAAACAACCTGATTAAAAAATGGGCCAGGGCTGGCCCCGTGGCTTAGTGGTTAAGTGCACGTGCTCTGCTACTGACGGCCCGGGTTCGGATCCCAGGCGCGCAACGACGCACCGCTTCTCCGGCCATGCTGAGGCCGCGTCCCACGTACAGCAAATAGAAGGATGTGCAACTATGACATACAACTATCTACTGGGGCTTTGGGGGACAAAAAAAAAGGAGGAGGATTGGCAATAGATGTTAGCTCAGAGCTGGTCTTCCTCAGCAAAAAGAGGAGGATTAGCACAGATGTTAGCTCAGGGCTGATCTTCCTCACACACACAAAAAAATGGGCCAAAGACCTTAACAGACACCTCACCAAAGAAGACATACAGGTGGCAAATAAGCACATGAAAAGGTGTTCCACATCATATGTCATCAGGGAAATGCAAATTAAAACAAGATACCACTACAAGCCGATTAGAATGGCCAAAATCCAGAACACTAACACCACCAAATGTTGGTAAGGATGTGGAACAGCAGGAACTTTCATTCATTGCTGGTGGGAATGCAAAATTGTACAGCCACTTCAAAGACAATTTTGCAGTTTCTTACAAAACTAAACATACTCTTACCATGTGATCCAATAATCATCCTCTTTGGTATTTACCCAAAGGAGTTAAAGCTTATGTCCACACAAAAACCTGCACATGGCTGTTTATAGCAGCTTTCTTCATAACTGCGAAAACTTGGAAGCAATTAAGATGTCCTTCAATAGATGGATGGACAAATAAACTGTGGTACATCCAGATGATGGAATATTATTCAGCCTTAAAAAGATATGAGCTATCAAGCAATGAAAAGACATAGAGGAAACTTAAATGCATGTTATTAAGTAAAAAAAAGCCAATCTGAAAAGACTATATACCATATGATTCCAAGTATATGACATTCTGGAAAAGGTGAAACTATGGAGACAGTAAAAAGACCAGGGATGGACCAGCCCCGGTGGTCTAGTGGTTAAGTTCAGTGTGCTCTGCTTTGGCAGCCCAGGTTCCGTTCTCAGGCACAGACCTACACCACTCTATTAGAGGCCATGTTGTGCTGGTGGTCCACATACTGAAAAATAAAGGAAGATTGACATGGATGTTAGCTCAGGGTGAGTATTCCTCAGCCAAAAAAAAGGAAAAAAAAGATCAGGGGTTGACAGAGGTTAGGAGGGAAGGAAGAATGAATAGGTGGAGCACAGATAACTTTTAGGGCAGTGAAACTACTCTGTATGGTACTTTAATGATGGATACATGTCATTATACATCTGTCCAAACCCACAGAATGTACAACACCAAGAGGGAACCCTAATGTAAACTATGGACTTTGGATGATAATGATGTTTCA